GAATGCAAAGTTGGAGAATCCGGTTCCGGACCAACCGGTCCATCTCTTAGGCGTTCTTTAGGGGTTCAGGGTTTAGGGTTTAGGGTTTAGGTTTAGGGTTTAGAGTTTAGGGTTTAGGGTTTAGGGTTTCTGTAACACTACATGGTGTCGCCCTGGGCCTTAAAATTTGGTCTAAACCCTAAGCCCTAAACCGCTTAGTCTGGCTAGTCGAGGCCATGGCATGGATTGCGTGACGTTTAAAGGGTTGGTGGGGTTCAGGCTTCAAGATCCGCGTCGAGATCCCTGGGTTCGTGTGAAGTGACTGAGCTTAAGTTGCCATGATAGGAAGATACACACTGAAGCAAAGAATGTGCTTTGCTTCTTATGTTCTTATGGTGACTTTATAAGATTAGGTCCCTTGGCAAGAACCCAGGAGAAACCAATTGGTGTACAGAATTTCCGGAAACTCCAGTATTTTGGTGGCGGGAGTACATGAACTGTGGTCAGTTCAGTTCGGGATCCTCGAAAGACCGCCTAGAAACCCCTTCAAGCCCTTCAAGCCCTTGTAAGTGCTTTCGTATGGAAATCGAATGATTAGCTACGCGACTTTGACGTATCCCAAAACTCTGCACGATTTTTTCGGCTGAAGCCATGTTCTCAGACGGAGTTTAGGGTTTAGAGGTCCCTAAACCCTAAACCCCAAACCCTAAACCCTAAACGGGAGTTTCTGGGAGGTTGCAAGCACTGGCCTGCAGTGCCGCACAGATGCACAGTCTCTGCACGGGGGGAGACTCCTCGGAAACGGAGGGGGTGACCCAAAGCCGGCTCAAGGCGTCGTCCCAGGCTGAAGACAAGGAGACCCTAAACCCTAAACCCCTTAACCCCTAAACCTTATACCCTTGAACCCTAAACCCAAAGCCCTAAACCCCTAAACCCCTAAACCCCTAAACCCCTGAACCCTGAACCCTAGGCCCTGAACCCTAAACCCGCAGAGCGACTGCAACGCGCTCCGCGGGGTCCTCATGATGGCCAAGGACCTGCTCTTCGCGGGCTGCACGGAGATCCACTTTGGTGGCGAGGGACGACGATGTGTCCTTCCGCGTGGTTGAGCAAACCGTGTTGCCCTGGAGCACGGCGCACGGGCGGCGGCCGGCACCTGCTGCACGGGGCCCGTGTTCACGTTCTTCTGTGAGGAGCAGAGCGGCTTGCCGCGTGGGCGGCGTCTGCGGCGGCATCACCTGCTCAGTTTTTGCCGGGACGACCTGGTGGAGTAGGTGGGGCCTCGCGGCCAGCGTTGCGCCAAGTGCGTCTGGACTGCGTGATGTTCTGACGCGGAGAGTTGGGAGAAGTCTCTTGGCTATGACCTCACAAAGACATGTTCGGAATCGTGCCCCATGCAAGCATACGTTTCCAGGCCTAATGCTTGAGCCTGTTTTGTTCAGATACGAAATTTTAGAAATCCCAGAACTATGGTCTCTGAGCGTTTGGCTTTCTAATTGCCAATTCTGAAAACGTTGTTGTTGAAATCCTAGTTTTTGGTGAGAGGGCGCCCCACGAGTCACTAGCGAACGGTTCCAGGCCTAATGCTTGAGCCTGTTTTGTTTAGATCCGAACCTTTCTAGATCCCAGAACTATGGTCTCTGAGCGTTTTGCTCTCTAATTGCCAATTATGAAAACAACATATCCTAGTTCTTGGTGAGAGGGCGCCCCACGAGACATTAGCGAACCATTCCAGGCCTGATGCTTGAGCCTGTTTTGTTTAGATACGAAATACCTTGTTTTTGAAATCATATCTTTGGTGAGGGCGCCCCATGCGACATTCGCGAGCGGTTCCAGGCCTAGTGCTTGAGCCTGTTTTGTTTGGATCTCAAACTTTAGTTTTGACTGCGTGCTTGCCCTGCGCAGATGGCGCGGTGACACCGTGGAGCCCGCCAATATCGCTGAGTCCTGGGCCCTTGAAATGGATCTTCAGAACATCAGTGTGGCGTGCACGCTTAGACACCTTGCAGCCTGATTGGCTTGAGGGCGCAGGGTTGGTAAGGCCTCTCGGTTTTGGGTTTACGCTGTTTGCAGGGCTCAGGGGTGAGCAAGTGTTGGGCTTATGGAGTTTACGGTTTCAGGTTTTTGGTTCACGGTGTGACGATCTAACCGCCACACCCTGAACCTGATTGGTTGGGGGCGTTAGGAGTGCCTGCCGTGCACCCTCACCCTCCCTCTGCCCTAAACCCCAAACCCAGAGGCACCAGATAAATGAACAAAAAAAGAGTAGCTGTGAAGAGCCTTGCTTTTAACTTTATCTGTGCACGTCCAGCCCAGGGTGCCACACGCCCACGGCGCGCTGCTGCTGTCGGTTGGACAAACGCTGCGACTGGGGCTGCATTGGCATTTGTGCTGGCTTGTTCCCAACACCGGATTATGTTTTTATTGCCTGCCCGCCCGCCCGCGACCGCCTCCTCCGCCGCCCTCGCCCATGCGAGAGCACGCTGTGCTAGAATAGCACACAAACACTACCTTAAAGTAGATCGTGCACTGCTCAGCTTTAGATGAAAGTAGCCCGGAAAGTCACGGAGGACCTCTTTCCAAGGACAGCACAAAGTGCATCGTGATCTTGAGCATGAGCCACCGAGGTGGCAAAGTTGGGATGTGAATTTAACGTGCTATTTTCACAGCCCAACAACACACAACACACACACGGAGAAGAGTCATCAACCAAATACCATAGTCGGCTGAAAGCCTGCTACATCAATCTGAATCATGACTGGTGAACCGTGGTGGACCTTTCCAGGTCCACGGCTTAGCCTGGCTTCCACATATTTTATACAGCAGGTACACATCGGTGGCCAACTGATGCTTCCCTCGCCATACCATAGCTTCGTTGCGTCAGGTAGGTATGGCGAGCCTGACGCCCCTGCGGTCATTGGAATGGTGACTTCCACAAACCTCTAGCTTAGAGTCAAGGCGCACACACACCCACACCCGCGCACACGCGCACGTGCACGCGCACGCGCGGAGTACTCACGCACATCGCACGCGCACACATGCATACGCGCACACAGGCACACACGCACACACGCCAAGAAGACAGCTGTAGATGATTGTCCGTTCATGTGCTCGCGGCAAATCCTACGACAACGGTTGCCTGGCCCTTGGAGCTCACTCTTCTCGTCGATGGGTGTTCCTCTTACCTTATCTCGTGCCTCAGGTCTACGACGAGGCTCCCGATTTCCCCTGCCCTCGTCAAGCACTCGGATTGTGCGACGGTTGCAATGCAATAGTAATGCTATCACTAAAAATATACTACTACTAGTACTACTACTACAACTGCTACTACTACTATGACTGCCCCTATTACTCGTACTACCAGCTCAAAACTAACCGTGCCATGCACAGATTTCATTGTGGAACCTGCTATAGCATGAAGGTAGTGTAACGTCATGTGTGAGTCCACGATATGACTAGAAATACGAATCGAACTAGGGCTGCCCTGCCCTGTCTAAAGTAATCAAAAGTTTAAAGCTGTAAACCGCATAAATGACGATCTATGATAATAACATTCACGGAAAAAGTGAAAATTGTTGTTCTTAACTATTGGAAATAGAAACAAAAAAATATTATTGTGTGCGAATGTGAAGTGAATGAAACTTTTTGTGGGTTGGCTTTAGGATTTAGGGTTCCAGGGTGTGGGTTGGCCTTTAATATAAACGTGTGTGAAGCTAAGTTNNTAAGTTGTAGGTAGAACTTCGCTGAGTGATGATGAGAGGAACTTTGTATTTTCTTAAGGTTATGGGATTCTTAAGGTGTGTGGGTGCTAGATCGAAACCGTGAATACAACTCTAATACGAAACTGCTCGATCCGGAGCTGCTGAACCCCAAAACCCTAAGCCCTAAGCCCGAAACCCCAAAACCTTAAACCCCAAAACCCGAAACCCTAAGCCCGAAACCCCCAAACCCCAAAACCCTAAATTCTAAGCCCGAAACCCTAAGCCCGAAAGCCCTAAACCCCAAAACTCCAAACCCTAAGCCCGAAACCCCTAAACCCCGAAACCCTAAACCCCAAAACCCGAAACCCTAAGCCCGAAACCCTAGGTTTGGGGCGGAGTTTTAGGGTGTCGCGGGGGCTTGAGGAGTTGGAGCATCCCCGTCTCGGGGCTTCGGGGTTTCGGCTTTCTGGTTTGCTCCTTTATAAGGGTGCCGTACTATACTGGGAGCCTAAAAGGGACCTTAGTTTAGAGAGTTACCCTTATCATGAACGAGCAGGAAGGTCAATCAACACCAAACCTACGGTTTAGGGTTTAGGGTTTAGACCCTCATAATTAACTAAGCCGGAAATCCCATCAGAGTAAGCCTCAACCCTAGACCCTACGACTCCAGCTGGAACGGCTGTACATAGCAACGTCCGCTTGGGACGGGGAGCTGCAACGGCATGCAGAAAAGGCATCGATCTTGTCTGAATCTTGCACCCTCAGTTTGGGGCTGGCATTTTGTAACGGTCCTATGCGGGTATTGCGAGGGTTTGTACTATGATGGAGTTTTAAAGGTGTTAAATGGTTTAGTATCTGAAAAAACTATTTAGGTCCGACACGGGTTTTACCACGTGATGGGCAGACGGTGGGGCCACGATTGAAGATTGATCTTAAACTACAGACATTAAGAAGTAATCCTTCGTGCCACAGGCGTGGGGTTAAGGTTTCATGGCCTAAGTTTTCAGGTAGGGCTTAGGGCCCTAAGCCCTAAACCCTAAGTTTTCCGGGGCTTATGGGCCGCCTCGTATTATGGTTTGAGGGTTGAGGTAGGGCTTTCTAGACTGAGCCTTGGGGTTTAGGTTTCAGGGTTTAGGGTTTAGTCTGGGACATTTTCAGGTGGGTAGTTACCGTTATAGGAGCCCTATAGAAGCCTTACAGAAGCCCTAGAAACCCTAAAGCCTGTAGTTTCCTTTGACCAATCCCCTCCGAATCCTGAAGCCTAAACATCCGGAGCCCTAGGAACTGAACCCCGGAAACCGCCTGAGCCCAAAGCCTTGCAATCAGAGTGTGGAGTCAGCCCGTGCAGGGTTTAGGGTTTTGTGTTTGGGGTCAATCAGATCGCGCCCCAGGTGCCCCGGTAGTTTACTCTGTTCTATCTGCCCATGTCCTTAGTAAGCTTGAATAATAGATAAAGGGGTGCCCTCCTATTAATAGGTACTTAGTATGTCAGCGTACCACACTATGGTATATCTTGGTATATCATGGTGTTTTTTATTTTCTCGACAGGACCGAGTATGTAGGCAGAGGTCTCTCGCGTCCGCCGAATCCTTGCCAAGGAACCATGGTAGAAGTAAGCAGTGCGACTGAGGATGAACGAACACGGGCTGCAAGAACTTACTAGTAGTTCCTTGTTCGATCCTTGACTACTGTATGAGAGCGTTCCTTGATTATTCACCGGGGTCTACATGAATCCGTTTAAGGTTGGTTGCAGGATATTCCGTCAGAAAAGCTATCACTATGTATCAGTCGTTCTGCGTTGTGGGAAGTTCGCGAGAAACCAGGCCGGTGCCGGCGCCGAACGGCCGCAAGCTCAGCCGAACAGTGGTTCACGCTATTCGAGCATAAAGACACCCGGTGACATGTTGAGTGTACTACGGCACGTGCTATTTCTCGAGCTTAATAAGTTTATCACAGTCTGTGACACCGTACTACAAGATAATGACGCTCCGATGTCGAAGGTCTATTTGTCTAACCTAGGCCCTGGTTTTCTAGGGTTTAGGGCTGGACTTTAAAGTACCCGTAGGCCCCATAGTAGTTCTTTCTGGGGGTTCATATTGAGAATCCTGTAAGGTAACCCCAAAAAGGAGCTACTATGGGGCCTATGGGTAAAGCCACAAGAACCCGAAACTTGAACCTGACACGCCTCAACCCTAAACCCCTGCACCCTAAACCCCGGGAGCCACGACCCGAAACTCTCAACCCCGAAACCCTGGAGTGCAGAGCCATCGTCCGAAATGACAAACCTGACTTGGAGGATCAGGGGACTTAGTAGGGTTACAAGCAAGAAAGCTAGAGTTTACATCTTCTTCTAGCCCAGTCAGGTACTTATGGCCCTATAGTTATTATGCCCCCTGATCCTCCAAGTAGGCTTCAGGACAAGGGGCCGTCATGATGTCATTAATGTGAATGTGTTGACGGCTTTTTTCACTTGACTTTATGTAGGAACGGGAAGTACGTTACCATTAGCTACCAGTGATGCGGGCCCCTATGTGATGTCCCGAAATTCTTTCAAACACGTTCAAAGACGTCTTACAGGAGTCATAAACGCCAAACCCAAGACCGGAGTACCAGCTTTTTTTCTACCATAACCTACTTTGTTGACATACCTTGTTCTACCAGAACCTATGTTTTGTAAGTTCTTGTTATCAACCCTGATACACCATTTTGAGGGACCCTGCAAAAATCAGGCTTTGGTAGTTCAAGGTACCATAAAGAATCTTTACGGCTTGAAATGTGCAAGTGGCACCGACTTCGGCCCCTACCTTACCCTCCAATAACCTACCCTTTAAGGACTTCTACATGGAAGTCGTAGTGTTGAGCCCTTAAAAGGTAGGGCTCATAGGGACCAGGTAAGGTCTACGAAGAGCTACTTTGGGCTTTTTGGAGCCTTCGGGAATGTGTGCAATTTTGGGGTGTCAGCCTATATCAGCATGCTACTTCGGGCTTAGCGATCCTATGTTGCTGCCACAACTCTCGGGTCCTACCATGAACCTAAACCCTAAACCCTAAACCCTCTCAAAGCCGATCCATCCCACCGGTGTTGGGTTGTGCAAGGTTCTTCTAGGCTTAAAAGCGGTGTAAGAAGAACCTAGGGGCCCCCAATACTTAGGGTTTAGGGTTTAGGGCTTAGGGCTTAGGGCTTCCGTATTATAAATAAAGTATTACATACCCCCAAACCTCTTTTGATTATTCAGGCCTCTACGTCACAAGATTCTTCCGGGGCTAAAACGGTGCAAAAAAGCAATGTTTGCAGGCTTAGGGTTTAGGATCTTCCAACAGCTGGTATGTCTCCTGCCGGAGCGTGGAAGCAACAGTTCAATTCGAGCAAGATCTGGCCAGGGCTGATGCTGCCGATGTCGACGCGCACGGAGAGCGTCATGAGGGCGGCAAAGTGGGTAAAGCTGGCCTATGGCCGTGGCGTGACGTCCTCCTCGAAAATGCTTGGGTAAACTTCCTTCTGTGGGGTATTGTTCCATAAGAGTGAGGTTTTTCTATGGCACCCCAAGCGGGGGACCCTGATTGAGGAAGCTTCTTGGCAAAGGATATAAAAGGTGGAACGCATGTTGAATGGGGTCTTGTTCAAGATGATTGAAAATCACTTCAGACCCCTTATAGGGGTTCCTAGAAACCTTAAATCACAAAACCCCTTAACCCTAAACCCTTGCCAGAGTCGATTGGGTAAGGCCGTAAGAAGTTCCAGCAGAGGTGCCAGTCATGCTGCCACCCCGGCTGCTGCGGAGGACCGATGTGGGATTTCCCGGTTTGGGTTCGCTTTCAGGGCGCAGGGGCTTTGGGTTGAAATGTGTTTATTGGGCTTTTAGTGTCTAGGGTTTAGGGGCTTTGGGTGCTTTGGGGTAAAAGCTGCGTCTTGACTTAAGAGGGACAAGGATCAAGGATCCTACATCCGAGTTCTGGATTAACCAGCACTGTCCATCGCAAACTTGGAAGAGAAGTCACTGGATGTATATTGAACGCTAGGCTCTAGCAATTCGGGCGCATAGAATCCCGACATTGTCCTACAAAATAACCTTTGGGCCCCGCTGGAAACTGGACAAGTAAGAGCGGAGTACCTGCATGTAACAGATGCAAAAAACTCTACGCACCTTGAAGAGGAATCCATATGGGAGTTTCAGAAAATTAGGGTACCTTATTTTGGGGGTCCTTATAATAGGGATCCTATTAATTAGGGTACTATATTAGGGTCCCCTATTTTCGGAAACCCCCATATCCACATTTCCAATTCCCCTATTATCCTTACGCTCTTCGGGTTCCCACCTGTTCCCACGGTCAGATATGCGTCTGACAATGTGTCGAGATCCAAGTCCAAAGAGTGTTGAGCTTACCCTAAAACCTAGAAACGGACCTAGACCATAAACCCTAAAGTTTTTTTGTAGTTCTTCAGAGTTTGCGGCTTTGGCGGCGCAGGGCCCGTATGCAGTGGGGCTTATGTAATTCGAGGGCTTCAGTGAACTGAGTAAGTAGGGCTATAAGTCCCTTCATTCATCAGGGCTGGAAGTATAATGGCTTGATAACACTATAGTTACCTTACTTTTGTGCAGCCCTACTTACTATGTCCCCTGAACCTCTACATAGGAATACAGGTTTGAGACTCGGCGGAAACTGCAGCCATGTGGAGGACCAGCTCCAAAATAGGAGGAGTCTCAGCGGGGCTACCCAGACCCCCAAAAGGATCTAAAAATAGATCCCCTAATTAGGGACCCTAACTACTAAAGGGTACTTTATAGGAACCCCCTTAAGGGATCTATTTTTTAGATCCTTTTGGCCGTCTTGTTATTTGTTCAACGACCGATTGAGCTTCGGACGATGCTGTGGCGATCAGGTATGCAGACGGCACGGTTGGAGTTTGGGGCTGCAAGAGTGCAGACACCCAAGCCGCCCAAGAGGGTGGCTTTTGCGCAAGTTTGTGCTATCGTGGCCGATGGCACGGTGGTTCCTCTATACTTGTTGGCTTACAACCTAAACCCTAAACCCTAAACCCTAAACCCTAAACCCTAAATCCCAAACCAAAACCACCTTTCGAGCCCCAAGCTTCCCTTCGCCCTAAACCCTAAACCCCCTGAGCCCTATAGGGTTTAGGGTTTTAGGGGTTTAGGGTTTAGGGTTTAGGGTTTCCTAAACCTTCAACCTCAAACCATAAACCTCCATACCCTCAACCCGACAAAGCCTAAAGCTAAGGTTTGCCTCGTCTGCTGCACCTCTTAAACCCAAAGCCCCGAATGTAGCGGTGGAACTTTCAAGTTCGGATTTGTCCCTGGAGTCTACCAGAGAACTCACAGGGCTCGAATGTGCAAAGCTTGGCGTTTTTTTTCTGGTTGGCTCTTAGGACTTTAACCTTTTGGACTTCTATAAGAACGATAGTAAGTATACTAGTATGCAAAGAGTTGAACTCTGAGGAGGGGATCAGAAGTCAGGCAAGTAATGGATTCTGAGTTGGTCGCCTCTTTGCGCCGTCCGGTGGCACAGCAGAAGATGGCTCTAGAGCCAATGATACGGCTGATGGACAAAATCCTGCATGACCCTATATACCTAAACTATGGGATTTATGGTACTATACTATATTTGGGTCATGCAGAATTTTGTCCATCACCCGTAGGGCCGTCCTCGTAGAGTGCTTCCCCGGAGCCAGCTGAAACTGTTCATCAGTGTTCATCAGTTGGTAAACTTTACGGGTGCTTGTGCTTTCGTTTAGGAGAAGGTGACTGGGACACCAGAACGCCTGCTGGTAAGCTCCAGCAGGAGTCTTGTCTGGTTGATAATTTCGTCCGTCACTCCTTCGGAGGAGCCTGCGCAATGACTTGCTATTTCGATTAGGATGGCACTACGCAAGTAAAGCATCCGCTGCTGGCTAAACCCCAAACCTCAAACCCTAAAGCCTGCTTTTTCGCTGCATCTTTCAGCAGGGCTTTCCGCTAGGATTATCTTGCTATCTCAGCCACGAAATATTTTTGAAGTGCAGCATGCCCCCCCTAAACCCTAAACCGCTCAATAACGGAGCATTCACCCGGGCCGAAACTTGGCATACTGTATGGTTACCCAATTACTTGGAGGGTGGAGACTTAGTAAATAGGTATTTGTACGTACCAGAACAGGGATCCTGACTGGGATTATGATATTTATATCCGCTATAACCTTACAAACAAACTACTCCCGACCCTCCAAGTTCGAGGTAGTGCAATAGCAGCCCGCTCCTTCTTGCCTGTCCCTGGAGTGCGTCTAGGATTCTTCTATTCTGATGGGGCAGTAGGGATCCTGAACCCTGAACCCTAAACCAAGCCCGCTCTTCCTCTCATATCCCATGAATTATGACAGGAACCCTAGGATGCTGTCAGGTATATTCCTCAAATAAGCGGTTTTGGAGTCTCTAGGAATTTGAAGTATGGACCCTAAACCCTAAACCCTAAACCCTAAACCCTAACCGGAAACCCAGAAGCCCTCCGCAAGTCCCGTGACAGTTCCGCACAGGATCCCGATGACTGGCTCGGATCTCAAGGGGGAAAAATCCAGACCCCCGGGAGGATCTAAAAAGTAGATCCCCTAATTTGGGACCCTAACTACTAAAGGGGGACCCCACTTAAGGGATCTACTTTTTGGATCCTCCCGGGGGTCTGGGAAGTCATGCCTTCAGGCTAAAGGGGATCTGTACCCTAAGCCCTTAGTCCAAAACCCCAAGCCCTAAAGCCTAAGCCGTAAACTGTAACGCCTAAGCCTACAGGAACCCCCCAAAACCCCTAAACTCTCAAACCTAGCAATTGGCAATGGCTCTGGCTCTCATTCGGATAAGGCTCAACGAGCTCGAGAACGACTTCGTCGCAGACGCCGGAGGCAGTTTAGGACAGCGCTAATCTTAGGGGTTTCGGGTTCAGGGCTCAGGTTCACGGTGAAAACAATAAGTAGTCGTAGTATCCTGTTATAGTCGGTAGATAGTTGTATTTACAGATATTTATAGCATGCCCTCAAACCCGATTCCAAGTAGTAGGGCCCCGTTATTGAGCCCATCGTGGGCCAGGAGTTCGTACCGAGAGAACCCGAGCCCAGCACCCCTAAACAAGGAAAACCCTGAAATATTGAATCGGATCTCTGATATGCCATATGCGGCCTTTGCTTTAGAGTCGAGGCAAAGGGTTTTGCGATGAATGTAAGATACGGTTGATGATGAAAATCCTGCATTACCCATAATAAGGAATATCCCATAATTGGCATAGCTTAGGTGCTTAAGGTAATGCAGGGTTTATATCATCAACCGTAGTTCGTGGCGGGCAGGCCCAGTAATTAAGCCTCAGATTGTGCCTATCCGACCCTAAACCCTAAACTCTGAAAGCTGCCTTCCCTGACCAGGGTTTCCAGGTACAGCACTGCCTGGGGCTTACTATAGGGGCCTAGACAATTACCAATACTATTTTGGGGGTTTCTAATTCTAAGTATAGTATACTGGGCCCCAAAACCCTATTCTAATTATTAAGGCCCCTAAACCCTAAACCCGTCTAGTAGCCCTTATAGAACCCTTAAGGAACTATCAACAGGAACCCCAAAGCCCTATTCTAATTATGAAGACCCCTATATTACATGCAGCATCCAAAAGGCTCCAGCGCCTGAGAATCGGTTCCTTAAGGGCGAAAAGAGCCCTAAAAGGGTTGAGGGTTTAGGGTTTAGGGTTTAGGGTTTAGGGTTTAAGGTTTAGGGTTTAGGGTTTAGGGTTTAGGGTTAAAGGGTTTAGGGCTTCGGGTATAGTATAATTGTAAAGGACCCAACTTTTACAGGTCATTTGGTCCTTAAGGTTTAATGGCTATAAACCCAAACCCCAAAGCCCGCGATGAAATTGCGAAGCCCCTTATACACCTTAACAGAAGCCTTTTTTGAAGGTGCGGTACTCTATGAGGGGCCGCTTTGAAGGTCCTTGCCGAAAGTATTTCAAGGATCAGAGGACTTCGCTAGCAGTGAGGCAGCCCGGATTAGGCTACTTGTCACTCCACTCGCAACCTATTCACCCAGAGAGCCCAAAACCTGCAAATTTGGAAATAAGGAACATGCTTGGATCATGATGATTAGGCAATAAACCCTAAACTCTAAGAGTATTAAGCCTCCTAAACCCTAAACCCTAAACACGAAACCACTAAGCCTTCTATACCCTAAACCCTGAACCCGAACCCTAAGGAGAGAGTTCAGAGGTTTAGGTTTTTTGATACTGCCCCCACACACCAACAGTTGAGTAGTACTTATAGTAAAGCCATATGAGGCCCTTATAACAGAAACCTTATAAAGATTGTTACTGTATGGGAGCAGCATTCAAGGTTTAGGTGTCTAGGGTGCGATTTTGCAAGAGCGCCCACCATCCAGGACCGCCTTCCCCGACAGCCGCAGCACAGACAGGCGCGGTAGGGTGTAGTTCCTGCTTTGGGGCTCCTTGGAGAGGGGTTTAGGGTTGAGGGTCTAGGGTTTAGTGTTGATTCTGAGACATGCCCAGTGTGCTAAACCCCTAAACATTAAACCCTAAACCCCTAAACCCCCAAACCCTAAACCCAAATCCAAAAACCCCTAAACACCGAAACCCTAAACCCCAAACCCGGCTTGTAAGTCAAAGGGTGAGGTGATCTTTGCTCAGGCCGAGAGTCTCTGGTGCAGTTCCGTTCCAGGCTAAATTTTCATGGCTTTAAACCCTAAACCCCTTAACCCCTGAACCCGAAACCCTAAGCCTTAAACCCCTAAACCCCTAAACCCCTAAACCCCGAAACCCCTAAACCCCTAAACCCTGAATATATTAAGCTCCTGAAGCCAAATTTTCCAAACAAAGGGACTACAAGGGGAGACTACTTGGAGGTTCATGGGACTTAGTAACTAGGCTTATAAATAAGGTAACTATACTTATAAGTACTTATAACCCCAATTAGGGTACTTATAACTGTACTTATTAAGTCCCATGAACCTCCAAGTAGCTGGAGGATCTTGAGGTCTCCTCGCTCTCAGCAACACCGTGTACCCAGAGACTCCCAAAACCCCTTAGCTAAGGAGGAATAGACCTTTCAATCATCTTAGGGACCCGATTTGGGTTTAGGGTTTAGGGTTTAAACTTGGAGGGAGATTCCTTAGTTCAGGGGTTTTGGAGTCTCTGGGTAGGCGCTCCTGCCCCAGCAGCGGCGGCACAGACTGGCGCAACTCTTGCGGATGTACCTCGGTCCGCAACTAACTTCCGGGCCCCAGCAACTACAATTTTACATTTTTTGTTATAATAAAACCCATTAAGGATTAAAAATGATCATGTTTAATATAGCCCGAACAGCAAAGCCAGAACTTGCTCAACTTTCGGGTCTTGTATAAAGAATAATTGAACTTTTGTGGGCGCGGCTTTTGCCCGTAAAAAACCTTGATCTTGTAAAACTCTACCTCTGCCCTAACCACTGGCAGCTGAGGCGGAATTCGACGATCTTTGGGATTCCATGATGGACGATGACAAGTCCAAGCCAGCGTAGGGGCACAGGTTTTAGGGTTTGGTGAGAAGGCTTAAAGGTATTGAGGACTTTATAGAGCCCCCGTAGTACAAACTTTCATAGAACTCCGGTAGAATCCCACAGGACTCGTATGGAACTTTCGTCTAGGAACTCTTGTATAACTTCTGAAGAACCCTTCTAGAAGCAGAAGCTGTGGAAGCCCCATGTTGCCCCGCTTTTCTGTAGGGCTGCGCAGTCTCAGATTGCAGCACGCAGAGCCGTATCCAAAAGCCCAGGCAGGCGTGACTATTGGGGCTTCTGATGGTGTTACTAGGGTATAATAAGAAAGGGTTTAGGGTTTAGGGTTTAGGGTAATACGGATTCTATGAGGGTTTTCAGTATCCTTGCTTTGTTTACGGGTTTTCGGTGTTCGGGTCTTCGGGGGTTTATGTAGACGGACGGTAAACAACACCGCTTGCTTTATCAGTGAAATCCAGGGAATCTAATACGGACGTCCACAGAAAAGGTGTGTTGATAGGATTGACTGTCTTTTGTTGGTTCTACATCCATGTTCCCAAAACCGTAAAGCCCAAACCCTATAATTAAACGCCCAGCTTTGCAATGACCTGATATTCCATGATCCAAGGTTTACTGCACGAAACATGCTTCTGTTGATACTAGTACTTGCCAGCAAACGCCACCATGACAAGAGCGGCGATGACGCTGACGATGATGATGATGGTGATGATGATGATGGTGATGGTGATGGTGATGATGATGGTGATGGTGATGATGATGATGACGATGATGGTGGTGGTGGTGATGGTGATATCATCATCACCATCACCTTCGACACCACGACAACAGTACTAACGAGACTTGAGGGAACGCAAGACTTACGGTAACATGACGGGATAGTGGTAAGAGTGCAGTGCTGAGGTTCAATGGAGTCTCACTGTCACTGTTGCAAGCAATGCTCAGCGACCGAATGCAGGCAAGTCTGACTGCAATTTTGTTGTTCAGGCGTGGCTCAACAAGAAACGCTAAACCCTAAACCGTGACAACAGGATCACATACAATTTTCGGGCCTAGGGTTTAGCGATAAGGGTGTCAACTTTGATTTGCGATGTATTTGAGGATTTGACTTTCAGCTTGCGCAGGTAGAAATATTCAGGTTTGTTTTGTTGAAAGTATTTCAGAATAGATAGGGTTTGCAGCTTTTAACAGAGGCAGCTCTTGACTCAGCTATTGTTTTTCATCCATAAAACAAGGGTCTTTTTCGCGCGGGTCTGATTCGACTCTCGACTCGACGTATGTAATTGATGTCTTCTGGGGACATGGCTGCAGCGTGCCGGGCAGCAACCGTATCTGACCTGTCTCCGGCGGAAATCGCTCTGTTGCAGAGGGCTATGCCGCTTGGCTGCCCTCAGCCCCAAACCACCAGACACCTTTCCCCAAGCTCCAACAATAAGGAATGGCGAGCTGTCAGGAGAAGTCGTGCCCCCGCCGACCGTCACGAGGATGCAGCAGAACTCATGAGGTCTTCTCCGGTGTTCCTTGCCGGTTCAGGGTGGAAGGGTTAGGTGTTTGTGTGTGTTTTTACAATTATGTTAGGCCTTTTTATTTCTTTCAACCCCCGGTGGGTAGGGTGCAGGGGGGCGCAGGGAGAGGGAGCTCCAGGGCGAGTGTGGGAAGGGGACGGGGGTGGGTGGGCCTCCAGTGGAAGCAACATACCGTATTGACATGACGTAGATTAGGTTTGATGGGATCTACCACATGGAACTTGCATTTTTCCTATCTGAGGTTGATATTAATTCCGTATGATATGTATACTGAGCTTATACAACAATTGAATCGACATGGAGAGTAATTGCCAGTTTTGGTAATACTGCAAGCCATTTTACATTTCCGTCTAATGTTCTATGAAAAGACTGGTATTGCTATATGATTGCATGATTTCGATATCACTTACATGTCTAATATAATAGCAGACAACTCACATTACGTACGTGTATTATTCTACATTAGTGATTTTTGAAATTATTCTATTCTGTCATCATACAGAACAACACTTTATACCATAATACCTTATAGCATATGATATAAATACAGTGTATGATGTGCTATTCTATTCTGCTCGATAATGCTATGTTATGTCGTAACGTTCCCCAATACGCTTTCCGAATAAGCAAGTTCAAACGCCAGACAGTCAGACAACAAGGGACACCGATACCCCATTCAATAAACATCATGGTTAATTATGAAGACCCCTGATATGAATCGGCTCATCTTTCTGAAACCCCATATTTACTATTCCCAAACGCCTAAGCTGTAGACCCCTGACCCTAAACCCCTGAACCCTAAACCCTAAACCCTGAACCCTGAACCCTGAACCCTGAACCCTGAACCCTAAACCCTAAACCCTAAACCCCAGAACCCTAAACCCCTGAACCCTAAAACCTGAACCCTGAACCCTGAACCCTAAACCCTGAACCCTAAACCCTAAACCCCTAAACCCCTAAACCCCTAACCCTGAACCCCTAACCCTAAACCCCTAACCCCTAAACACTAAACCCTAAACCCTAAACCCTCACCCCTAAACCCTAAACCTTAAACCCTAAACCCCTAACCCCTAAACCCTAAACCCTCAACCCTCAACCCTCAACCCCTCAACCCCTAAACCCCTAAACCCCTAA